TGGCTCGGTTGGCATCGACTGACCACCCCTTTTTCTCGTTCACCCTTTCTTCTCCTCCTTCTCCTCGCTCTCGCGGCTGATCGCGCCGTTTTCCGCGCGAGCAATCTTTCGACCCCGCTTATCTCCTCGCCGCGTCTTCCATTTTTCCTTCGCCCGTCCGCAATTCGTACACGTCAGCGCGGGAACACGCGTGCAATTTACCCCGTTTTCAGAAACGCGTCCGAAAACCCGCACGTGTCGTGTCAGCGGGCTTGGAAGGGAATTCATTCGTCATTCCCTTCGTGGAATATGCTATATGAGAGTTAACGAAACGACGAGAGAAAAAGATGGGCGCGATTAAGCGTTACGTGATATGAGGCACGAGGAATCTTGGAAGGTTTCGCGACGATCGTTCATCGAATGCTGTCCCCTCGTGCGAGCCACATTTTCCAGCAAGGGAGACGCGATAAATCTCACGATCGAGGTCACGTTTACGCGATTCCAAGATACGTGAGTGTATATATAAACACACGGGCAATATATAGGCTGGATAAAAATTAACGAATCGAACAATTTACTCACGTGCTTCTTGAAGACGTTTTTCGATTTCAGTTAGAAGAAAATGGAATATTGTCTTCGATACGTGCGAAACAATTTGATACGAGAATAACAATGTCTTTCCTTTCGACGGGAGTTGAAATTATTCGAGAAGGATCGTTCGTTCTATCGCGATCTACGAACCTCTCTCATTTTTCAATCGGATTGATTCGTTGTTGTCACGGCCGAGCCTTCGAAGAATGCGCAAGCTATTCTATAGAAAGTAATCCGTACGTAAAGGAAGGAAAACGAAGGAGGAGGATTCTCGTTTCCATGAAAATTTCTCTTCCGGTATCGATACCGGTCGTTAGATCGGTGAAAAATGTTTTTCGCGCATTTTTACGCGCATTGAAATAACAATGGCGAATACTTTTCCGCGCGAAAGAAAAAGAACGTAAGCTCGATTTTAAATGACCGAACGAATTAAGCGAAGTCGAGCGAAATACCTTGATGTTGAATCGGTTCGATTTAATTCGATCGTTTCGCTCGAGGATATACGTATCTCGCCCGTTAATTCGATTATTCAAAGTAACGAATGAATCGATAATCACGATATTAATACTAAACCGATTTGCTCATCAAATATGCATTGTCCAACGGAACGTGATTAATTAAGGAACGCGTTTGGCGATCGGTTACCTTAAATTTCGCTGGGGGTATAGCTAATTCGATATCCATTCACGCACGAGTCATTATCTCTCTGGTCATTAATCCTGATACACGTGGACGATAGCGGATTTACGGCGCAACACCTGTTACGTTCGAAACGCTACGTCTAAAGTTTATATATCTCTTCGTTTCGTAGATGAACGATTCGAACGATGAGGGAAAACCCGTCGAAAAAATTTTTCTTCAAAGATGAACAGTATAATCGGCGAGCTCTCTTTTATCCCTGGCGAAAACATCCTCTCCTTCGAGCTATCCATTTATTTCCCGTAACTCTCTGCGCTTTTTCTCTCTCGATTCGCCCTTTCTATCTTCAATGTTGTCCTCGACGTTGGCGTACGTGTTCGAAGGGAAGCAAACTCGATTATAACCACCGTTCTATTTATTTTTCAATCAATGTGTGAGATACAATTTTGTGAAGTGGGCAAGTACGCAACAAAGACGATAAAGCGTCTTCGATGTTTTCGAAACGCGATCGTTTCTCTTCTCATCGATCCGTTCGATTCGAGATTTTATCAGTTCTCGATTTCGGATTTTTTTCGGATTTCGGTTTAAACATGTTGATCAGAAGATTGAAAATCTTGGCGATAGGGTAACCAGGAAAGCTGTTCATCATGAAGGATCCATTTTTAAATGAAAACAAGGCCGAAAATTTGAACGACGAACCGCGTTGATTATCACGATTCTTCTCCTCCCGTCCTTGTTTCTCGCCTTGAAAAGTTTCATCGGTTTGTCGATCCCGCGAGTGTTGTTGATCACCCCGGCTGGAAAACAAAAGAAAGAAGCTGAACGCGCGCGGATCGAGGTTAAGTTTGCCGTTCAGATTGAAAGCTTGCCTGGGGAATCCGGATTCGCGAAATGCCTCGCTGCTTTCTTTCTCTTCATTCGCCCATCTTCGATTCAATTTTCGCGAGGAAAGTTGCCCGATTCCGGCATTTTCCGCCAACAAAGTCAAAGGAAACTTGTCGTCTGGACGTCGTGTTTTTATTCTTCGTTAAATCCTCGATTCCTCTGACTCTTCGACACGATTTTTTTTTTTTTTCTTTTATTTTTCGTTTTTAATTTCTCGGAAAAGTTTAAACGAACTCTTTTCTACCGTTTCTATCTAGGGCTCGTTACGGCGCCCTTCTCGCGAAGGGAAATTTCTTCCAAATGCAACGAAACGAAAGAATAATCAAGGTAATTGGACCGCATTGTCACTGGAACCCACCTGTCACAAGTTTTTCCGAAGAAATGGCGCAACTTTGTTAAATGCCTCGTTGGAGGGCATAGATTCTCCTTCTCCCCGTCCGATTGCTCGACTCGCGTATTTTCTAGATTCGGGTATTCAGAGTCTCCATCCTGAATCGATTGTTCCTTGCAATGAATGCTCGAGAGCAAGCAAGAGGAGAGCGTGAAGTAGAAGAAAAATATCGAGAGTATCCTCATTTTAATAAGGATAACCGTTAATTTGAATTATTCGCAACTCGATCGGTTCCGTTCGATGGAAACCAACCGGCTTTTATAGGAGAATTATTTGACAAATGATCGAGGATTTATCGCGTAGATACGATTATCGTTTACACGCGCTTTTACGTCCAAGTCTCGCGCACGGAATAATTATTAGAATTTTAGATCGAATCAAACGCGAGAAGTGTCTGGCAAATTGACTGGCGTCTCGAGGACGTTCGTATCGAGGACTATTTCCTCCCGCAGAATGTTTTCGCGAAGTTTTCTTACAAAGCAGGATTTCTGGAAAAATCGACTAGTAACTGTTGAAGGCAAAAATCGGGGTATCGACGAGAAATATATATATAAAGTTCGGCAAAAGAGGAAGGCACAAACTTTATCCAACTATCGTCGTCGTTTTTCCACCAACTTTTCCTCTTTTCACTCGCGCAACATTTGTAACATTTTCCTCGAAAATCGTTTCGCGATCGTCGCTATATCTCGTCGATGATACACGTCGAAACGATCGATAGACAGAGGCGTTGATTTCCTTCGTTGTTAAAATTATTCGAGACAATATATATATAAACCACGCGAAAGAAGAAGAGGAAAATAAAAGTGTTTCTCTTTCAATCAACGTCTCCTTGTGGCGCGCCGCCATTCTTCGCCCGCGAACGAACGAACGAACGAACGAACGAACGAAGGAAAGGGAGAGAAAATTGTGCAGTTTATCCCGCGCGTGAAAGAGTGGCAGTTTTTCCCTCCACTCCTTTTACGGTTTCGCGTGTACAATTTCCAGGATCAGCGCGGCCTCGTTCAAAACCCCGCTAATTGTGAACGGGCCTTAACACGCGACGCTCCCCGTTGCATTTTAATGCGACACCATGCGCGACCGTTTCTCGCCAGTTCGCGTTTCGCGATGAAAAGAGGAGCGCACAAAGAAGCTTCTTATCTAGCAAAAGTCTTCGAAATAAGACCTCTCGTTCCTCCCCTCTTCCTCTTTGCCACTGTTCGGTGCGCGTGAATGAGGGAGGGCTCTATTCGGTGGCTCCGTGATAGGAATCGA